CTCCCCCTCCCCAATCCTCCAATAACGTGATCGGCAGCACTCATTTCAAGCCGCACGAGCATGAACGTGTTGTTCTGCGGTCGGGTGACGTGCGAGAGACTGACGTACACATACCCACATACCCAAACACATCTTGTATCGTTCCTCCTTTTGGGTAGTGGTGTTATATATGGTATTTTTCGTAATTAATTGTTTTCTTTGATTTTGTTTTTGAGAACTTTTTTTTATTGCTGAAGTTTTATTTATTTTTCTTTTGTTGGAGTCTGCTTTGTATCTCTTTTTTGTTGTTCTATTTCTTTTATTTGATTTAGTGAAGGAGTTGTTTTCTTTTTTGTGCAAATGGCTGCTCTTGATGCGTTGAAAGAGGATATTCTTGATGTATTTCACGTCTTTGATGAGGATGGCTCGGGCAGTATTTCTCTTCATGATCTAGTTCGTGCGATTCACACTATTACCGGTGTACGTATGTCTCGTGTAGATTTGCGTGTGCTTGTACAAGCTGCTCAAGATGAACTAAAGGAAGAAGCAATATCTAAAAGACAACAAGAATCTGATGAAGCTGGTTTATCGACTGTTAAAAGTTTGGATGTTTCGAAGACTCAGACTTCTACTGAACATGATACAGTGGATGAGAATTTGTTTGTTGCTGTTGTTTTGAAGATGTTGAGTAGGCGTACATATGAGCAAGAGTTGCTTTTTACATTTCATTTACTGGAAGATAAGAATTACCCTGGTTTTATCACGAAGGAAAGTTTAAAAAAGGCCGCTGCTGAAATGGAAGAGTGTCTGACGGACCAAGAGGTAAATGAGATGTTTGATAAACTTGTAACTGGCGTACCAACTCCTGCATTGGATTTTACGACATTTTCTACAATTCTTGAGACTGCAAGAAGATCAGAGGAGTAGTATTAAGTTCTTTTTTTTTCCTTGTTTTGCTTTTGTTGATATACCGCTGCTGATGCTATTGAACTTTTTTTTCTTTTTGCTGTGCACAACTTTGTGTATGTGTCATAATAGGAATGTAATGTACATCTGTTGAACTCTGGAAGCTCTAAGAGTTTTTTTTTTTTGTTCTCCTCTTTAACGTGTTTTTAATGACTGAGTGGTTGTTTTTTTGTTTCTCTTTTTTTTTTTTTCTTTGCTTGATTTTCTTATTTTTTCCTTTTTCTCTCTTCTTTTTTTTGTCTGTGAAAAAGGTGTTTGTTTGTTTTTTTTTCTTTTTGTATTTTTAAACTAAGTGATTAGTGAGATAGATATATATATATATATATATATACGGAAGAACCATATTTTGATTTTGGTTATTCATCTATATTTATTTATTTGTTTATTTAATTAATTATTTAGAGTCTTGACCCCCTAAAATGTCAGATACGGAATGCCCATTCTGTAAACGGAGTTTTGGGTTACTTCTCTGGAAACATCAATGTGATATGTGTAATATTGTGGTCTGTGATGATTGTGCCCCTAAGAAACACTGCGTTCGTCACTGCAAGAAATGTGTGGAAAAGACTGCAAATAAAGAAGAACAAAAAGACAAAGAAAAACAGAAAGAAAAAGAAAAACAAAAGGAAAAAGGAAAACAACAACCGTCAAACTCTGTGCAACCCCCCATTCTCAATGAAGAAGAGGAAAGACAGAAACGTTTACGGGCGGTGGAGAATCGTATGAAGGCCTCTCAGCAGCGGGGTATTCCACAAGATCGTCAAACCAAATCCACAGGAATCCCAACAACAACAACAACAACAACAGCGGCGGAGATGCCGGTGGAAAGTGAAAATATTACGGAGAAGCCGTCGGGCGGTAATCCCCTGCAGACACCAGCGGGGGAAAATCCCGTGCTGGAGGCTGCCCTGCGGCGTAGAGAACAGGAACAGTCAAAAATGACGACAAATCGAAATAATTCGGCGGAAAAGACACAACTGTTGGCGGAAATTACGGCGATTCTCAATCGGCGGGGAGAAGATGAACCGTTTGGGCTGCGGGCCATGGATGAGGTGAAGCTGCGATCGTATCTTCGGTATGTGAAGAGCAAGGAAAAGGGCACTGGTGAAGATTGATGGTGAAGGAACGGTACTGATATTTCTTTTCCTCTTTTTGCACTTGTGTGTGTGTTTGTTTGTTTGTTTGTTTGTTTGTTTGTTTGTTTGTGCGCCCGTTTGTATGTGCTCAAATTGTTATTCCCTTTTTCTTTTTTTTTCCCCACAAGATGTTACTCCTCTAGTTGTTTGATTTTCTGAGTTTAATTAGTTAAGGAGAAAAAATAAGTGTGTGGAGAGAATTATATATTTATATATACAATATTCTGCTTGTTATTTCTTTTTTTTTTCCTTCTTCTTCTTTCTTTATCGTGACTGGAGTTATCGTTTTGATGATGGAGTCACTGTACTCTCTATTCTCTCCTCATTCCATTTTGTTTTTTTTTTGTTTTCTTTGTTCTTCTTTTTTAATAGATTTTTATCTCTCTCTCTCTTAGTTGGTTATTACTGTACATATCCATCTTTATCTATCTATATATCTCACTCTGTAGAGTTCCCTCGTAGTAATTGTGTTTCCCACACAAATGTCTTCAACTAAAAGTAAACGTCCCCTTCCCGAACCGCACACTTTTTCTCACATTCCATCATCTTCTCCCAAACAACAACAACAACAACAGCAACAAAGAGGTCAGAAAGAAAAAAGTCCTGTTAAGAATTCTGCAAACATTGGAAATACGGATGTGCGGGCCACTACCCCTAGCAGCAACCGCAGAAAAGATATAAAGAGAAGGGAAGAGGAAAAGGAGGAAATACAAGTGGATTATCCCTCCCATGATGATAATGATGATGATACCGCTACTGAGTGGATTCACAATGTGGAATTAAACTGCTGTGAGAGCAGTCCAACACTAATGGAGTTAAGTGTGTGGGATGCTGAACTCACTAGACGGCGTGCGGAGGTATCAAGGGATATTGAATGCATTTACAACTTTATTCATATACTACGAACTCATGGGAGAGAGGATATAGAAAGACACGCAGAGAGTTACACATATGCAGATGGAAATATATGCAAAGAAGAAGAAAAAGAAAAAGAAGAAGGAAATAATGACACTGTGGATGTTGTGAACATTCCTTATGCAGTAAAATCCCCAGATACGGCGAATCACTTTAATAATAATAATAATAATAATAATAATAATA